CACTTGGCATTTCTCAAGCTGAAAGAACTGAAGAAAAATTCAAGTCTCAAGTTGCAATATTGAAGGATTCTACAGATAAAGTATTGAATGATACAGGAAGCATCAAAAGAAGATAAAAGGAATACACAGAGTGATTGTATCAAAAAGAATTGGTCAATGTACAACTATTTCAGGAGGTAGCATATGATCAAGAACCAATGGTACTGAAGGAAGAAGTCCAAGCTGCACTGAAGCAATTGGCAAAAAACAAGGGATATGCAATGAGATGTTTCAACAAACAGATGCAGCCCTGAGGTGCTTACTCATCTACACCAAGAAATTTGGAAGACAACTACCTGGCCAACTGACTGGTAGAGATCTATATTTGTGCCCATTCCAAAGAAAGTTGATCCCACAGAATGTGGAAATTATCAAACAATATCATTAATATCACAAGCAAGTAAAATTTTGCTGAAGATAATGCAAAAAATGGTTGCAGCAGTATATTGACAGAGAACTTCCAGAACTGCAAGCTGGATTCAAAAGATGACATGGAATGGGGGCTATCATTGCTGATGTCTGATAGATCTTAGCTGAAAGCAAAGAATACCAGAAAGATGCCTACCTGTGTTTCATTGACTATGCCAATGCATTTGACTGTGTGAATAGTAACAAATTATGGATAACATTACAAAGAATGGGAATTCCAGAACACATAATTGTGCTCATGAGGAACCAGTACATAGACCAAGAGGCTGTAGTATGAGCAGAAAAAGGGATACCACATGGTTTAAAATCAGGAAGGGTGTATGTTAGGGTTGTATTCTTCCACCACACTTATTTAATCTGTATGTTGAGTGTTCTGGTTGCCTAGTGCCACTCTGACAAGAATGTATACCACAAATGGGATGGCCTTAACAAACAGGAGTTTATTCTTACAATTTGGAGGCTTTAAGTCCAAGTTCAAAGTGCCAGGCTCTAGGGGCTGGGTGAAAGCCCCTTAACCTTGGGCTCCAGCTTTGCCTCCTGCTCTTGGCCCACTGGAGCTGGAGGCATTTCTTCACTTAGACAGCTGCTGGCTGCCGAGGCTGAGAAACCCAAAGGTTGACAAGTCAAAAGGTATAGTCCCAATGTTACCAAACCATACGACAGGCCATTAACTTAAGTCTATTGAAAGTCCCAAGGTTGGCAGAGCATGGCAGGCTGCTAAACAATGACACAGCTACATGCAGGGTCCAAACGTGCCATAAGCTAGAGACCATTTCCAAGGATTCTCCTTATGGACAGGAAGCAGACCACATCCCAAAGTCAGCTAGTCAGCTGTTTATGGTACATCCCACCATGGAGTTGATTGCCAGTCTCATCATGGGTAATACTACCACCAGCTGTCCAGCCACTCAACTAGGCCCAGCCAAGTTGACACACAAATATAACAATTACACTGAGAAAATGCTCTGAGAAGCTATACTGTATGAAGAAGAATATGGCATCAAGATTGGAGGAAGATTCATTAACAATCTGCAATATGCAGATGATACAGCCCTGAAAGTGAAAAAAACTTGAAGGACTTACTGGTGAAGATCAAAGACTACAGTGTTCAGTATAGATTACACTTCAACATAAAGAAAATGAAAGTCCTTACAACTGGAACAATAACAAACATCATGATAAATGGAGAAAAGATTGAAGTTGTCAGTGATTTAATTTACTTGGATCCATGGTCAGCATTCATGGAAGCAGCAGTCAGGAAATACGACACAGTATTGAACTGGGCAAATCTGCTGCAAATCACCTCTTTAAAGTGTTAAGAAGGAAAGATGTTACTTTGAAGACTAACATATGCCTGACCCAAGCCATAGTATGTTCAATCACTTCATATGCATGTGAAAGCTGGACAATGAACAAGGAAAACCGAAGAAAAGTTGCTACTTTTCTTTTGATTACCTAGCGCCACTGTGACAGGAATAGACTACAAATGGAATGGCTTTAACAAACAGGAGTTTATTCTCTTACAGCTTGGAGGCTTTAAGTCTGAATTCAAAGTGCCAGGCTAGTGCCCGGGTGAAAGCCCCCAAACCTGGGGCTTCATCTCTGCCTCCTGCTCCCAGCCCACTGAAGCTGGAGGTTTTCTTCACTCAGACAGCTGCTGGCTGCTGAGGCTGACAAACCCAAGTTTGACAAGTGAAAAGCCACAGTCCCAATATTACCAAATATTGCATGGCCGATCATTGATTCAAGTCCAGAAAAAATCCCACAATCAGCAGGGCAACATGACAGGCTGCTGAACGACTCAGCTATACGCAGGGTTCAAGCATGCCCAAAAGCTGCAGACCTTCCTCAAAGTTGCTTCTTATTTACTGGAAGCAGCCCACATCCCTAAAGCAGCTACTCAGCTGCTCCAGTAGATTCCACCATGGAGTTACCAGTTACTAAACCATTAGGAATAACTACATCCAGCTGCCCAGCCACTCAACAAGTTGACATACAACCTTAACTACTATACCTTTGAATTGCAGTGTTGACAAAAAATGCTGAAAATACCATGGACTGTCAGAAGAACTAACACATCTGTACTGGAAGAAGTGCAGCCAGAATGCTCCTTGGAGCTCAGAATGTCCAGACTTCACCTCACCTAGTTTGGTCATGTTGTCAGAAGGGACCACTTAATGGAGAAGAATGTCACACTTGGTAAAATAGAGGGTCAGTAAAAAAGGGGAAGACCCTCAATGAGAAGGACTGACACAGTGGCTACTAAGATGGACAGAAGCATAGCAAGGATTGTGAGGATGGCACAGGATAAGGCAGTGTTTCATTCTGTTGGACAGAGTGTCGCTAAGAGTTGGAGCTGACTCAATGGCATCTAAAAACAACAACAACAATAACTTACTATATGCTAGGCATTTCATTAAGTGTTTTATATAGCTTATTTTGGGAGCTCTGGTGGTGAAGTGCCTAAGGCATTGGACTGCTAACCACAAGGCTGGTGGTTCAAACCCACCAGCCACTCATCGGAAAGAACATTGGGCAATCTACTTCTGTAGAGATACCACCTTGGAAATCCATGGAAGGGTCACTATGAGTCAGATCCCCCTTGACGGCAGTGAGTTTATAGCTTATTTTATTTATATTCTCTATCTTCCCCATCCACATTCCCACCTCCATACCTGCCCCAATATTCTTTCTAACCTTCAAACTTTGTCTCATGCTGTATTTTCTATCTCCCAATGTCTCCTCCACCATCTTTGCATAGTAAAAAAACTTTCAAGATCTGGGTCAAGCCTCATGCTATCCATTGTATGCCACATATTTTGCCACAAATTCAACAATTAATTCCCTATTGGCCTAAAATCTCCTATAATTGTTTCATGTGTGTGTGTGTGTGTGTGTGTGTGTGTAGGTATGGAGCTCTGGCAGCATAGTGCCTAAGGCATTTGACTGTTAACCAGAAGGCTGGTGGTTCAAACCCACCAGCCATTCCTCGGAAGGAAGATTGGGCAATCTACTTCCGTAGTGATACTGCCTCAGAAACCCAAGGAGGGGTTACTATGAGTCGGGGCTGACTCAACAACAGTGAGTTTATATACATATGTGTTATTATTACTCTAATAAGATCAAAGATTCTGGAAGGATAGGGAGCACCAATATATATCTATATTGGTCAACAGACATTTCTTGATTACCAAGTATACATTGGGAATAAGATTCAGTCTTTAAGGAGCTCACAGTCTAACAGTGGAAACTAACAGGTAAACAGAACATTCAGTGCAAATGATCTCTATTTGAGGCATGACTGGAGTGCTTTGGAGATACTGAGGACTTATACTGGTCTCATTCTACCAACTAATAGTGGTTGTATGAGGACAAATGGCATGATTGACCCATGTGGGTCTGGGAAGGTGCACCAATCTTCTTTGGCTGGCCCCTCCAAACCCCCTCTCCACTCTGGGAGGTTGATAAATATGTATCTTGAAGTTTTAAGCTGACTCTTGAATTCATTCACTTGCTTAATCAACCAGTGCTTGGTAGATTCTTTGACATATTTGACATAAAATGCTGGCCTCTGGAGATACAATGCTGAGCAAAGCACACTTGATTTCTTCCCTTACAATTATCACCTATCAAAAGGAGACAGATCATCAGTAATCACAGGCATATGGGAGTAAACATATAATTACTACATATGAAAAATGAAAAGAAGGAAAAATGAAAAAAATGAGAAAGATTAGATATTTGCATTAAGAACTCAAGTAAATAGGAGAGGTCAATAAAGAATAGAAAAAAATGTTGAGTCCAAATGGAGGAAAATTGAAGGAATTCAAGTCAATCTTTAATTTTTACTATTATTTTATTATTGTGTCTGTCTTATTGTAGGAGCCCAGGTGGCACAATGGTTAAGCACTAGGCTGCTAACCCCAAGGTTGGCAATTTGAACCCACCAGCCATTTCATGGGAGAAAGATGGGGCAGTCTGCTTCTGCAAAGATTGCAGCCTTGGAAACCCTATGAGATATTTCTACTCTGTCCTACAGGTTTGTAATGAGTTGGAATCGACCTGATGGTAATGAGTTTGGTTTGGGTTGGTCTTATTCTACCAATTAATAGTGGCTGTATGAATAAACAACGATTATTATCAAAGGACTAAGATGATTCTCATCATACTTTGTTTTATTGGGCATTAATTGTTTCAAGAGTATCTGCATCCTTTGTTTCTCTAACAGAATAAAATGTCCCCTAAAACATGGATTGAATTTTTTTCTCACTTCTTTTGGTTGCTCTAAAGTGCCCAGAGCAAGATTGAGCCCCTCATTAACACTCAATACCCAGTTGTTGAATGAATGAATTTTGTGAGCGATGAAACAGTTGGCTGGAGGTGATATGGCCTGGTCTTAAGCCTGGGAACAGAGAGAAGAAAAAAACTCTATGTTGATTTGCATCTTCTGTCAGCCAAAAGAGGTCTTCATCCAGTAGCCAGTGCAGGTATTGACATCCTCTACATCTGTCCCAGCCTGTAACCAGAGGCCCTCAGCAAGCCTGGGTCTGCACTTTCCGCCCTGGGCATGTGGCACCTCCATTCTTTGGTGCAGGGTTGTTGCACTCCCTCCTTCTTTCCCGGGTGCCTGCTCTGCAAGCAGACCAGGAGCTCCAGCAGCTCCATCGACCATCTGCCTCGGCTCCTGCAGAGATAATTTCCCAGGAGAAGAGAAAGTTAGCATAAAAGGAGGTGAGGGAGGAGGGTAGACTATAAGGAGGAGGAAGTTTGCATACAAGGAGCATCTTGGACTGTAAGGGGGGAAGCCATCCCATTGCCAGAGTGCTTGCAAGTCCTCCTTGTAGGATTTCCTTGGTGTAGCTAACCAGGATCTCTGTGCGCACCACCTTGCATTTAATTTGAAACTCTCAATGGCGTGAGAAGAGGCCACTGGGAGACCATTTCATAAAATTGAAATCTGTGGTTCCATGGAAGATGGATAGCAGACTAAAGCAGGGAGGCAGCCCTCAGGGAAGAATGACACGGAGCCATTGGAGGGTATAAAGAGCAGGGAGCCAGGCTTGGCTGGGGAATTAGATGAAAAAGTTGAGTAGACACATCTGTGAAGAGGCTTGTGGGCATTTCTATGAGGTTTTGCACATCGAACCCCCTCAGATTTTGATAATAGGCCATGGTGATTGTCTGCACAGGCCATTAGAAGGTGAGGACACAAGTGCTGACCATGGAGTGTCTTTGGAATCCAGCTCATATGCCGCCTTAGGCTTGGGCTGCTGCCTCCTCCAGGCTCTGTGATGTTAGGCAAGCCCATCTCCTTTCTGAGCCTGAGTTTTTGCCTCTACAAAATGAGCAGAATGGACTAATCCAGAAGTTTTAAAATTATTTTTTATTACTATTTTTTCCCAAATGAAATGCTACATGGACCCCAGCATTGAAGTCAGATGAAAATGGAGCTGTTCTTTTTAAAGATGGGGTGCTTATCAGGCTTGCCTCATCCCCTGGAACAGCCTTTAAAACCTCCAGGCTCCTAAGATCACAGTGTGAACATCATTGGATTAGTTTATCTCCAAGTCTCTTCCAGCTCTGTAATTATACTCCCTGGTGGGTCAGCCACAGCAGGGCTCTTGGTCTCTATTTCTCCCACCTCTGTGACTCTGGTCACAGAGCCTCCAAAATACCTGGAGGCCCACATTATTGGGTCCCCATGGTGGCTAACTAACTCCCCAGCCTTAGTTTTTTTTTTTTTTTTTTTTTCCTTTTTGCCAAGATGATCTCCTATCAGGCTGAAAGTTCAATGTGGTGACCCCAAGTCAATCTGCTGTCCATGCCTCCCCGGAGCAAGCTTATAATCAATATGAGCTGCCTGCTACTGCCTGAATGTAGTCTTACAGGAGGAATGGGGCTGCAAGGAGAGCTCAGTCCTCTGTCTCCTGCCCTTGCCCCACAATCACAGCATCCCCACTTCTCCAATTACCACCATGTGTGTATGTGACTCAGCATGGCTGCCACTGAGCCTTCCATTGGACCACTGAAGAGGCAGGTTTAGGTAGCCCACACTCCTTGTTTTCTTCGTTTCTATGTTGTATGGATCAGAATCCAAGGAAATTCTGGTTCTGAGGGCTTTTGGAGCACTCTAATTATAATTTCATTCTGTTTTATATAGGGTTGCTGTGAGTCAGAACCGACTTGATAGCACCTAACAACAACAACAATTATAATTATCCAGGCAGCACTCACATCTGTCCCTTTAAGACAGATTGAGCTAGTAACCATTAACTGGGAACATACCACTTCCCATTCCCTTTAAGTCAGGCTGAATTGATAACCAGCAACTTTGAACTTACCCTCTTCCCCACTACACAAAATGATTGTCACTGCAATTGTCTTAGACTCTTCACTCTACTACTCAAACTTTCCCCAACTCTTGTCTAGATGCACTAGAATGTGAATCAATAGAGTGCAATGGTTAAGAACTTGGGTAATGCCATGAGAAGTTCTGGGTCCAAATCCTGGCTCTGATCTTCCCCAGCTAGAAGACCTTATGCAAGTTATCTAACTTTCTTGCCCTAGCTTCCTCATCTGTAAAATAGGTATACCTCATAAGGGATGAAATGAGTTCATATACATGAAGTATTGAGACAGTGCCTGGCATGGATTCAGGGCTAGTTAATATTTCTGTTGAGGAACACTTGTTCCTTTGGGCAGGGATATGAGCTGAAGAGGTGAATAGAGGTTGACACCTTGTCTACACTGTACTTGGGAAGTCCTGAGTCTTGGCACTGAGCTGTGTAATCTCAGAATGACTTTTTCCCCCTGATTCATCCACCTTTAGGGCAGTATCATTTTCCAGTTCACAGAAAATGTGCCAGATTTTGTGCTGGTAGTTGGCCTCCTTAGTTTTCATTCTCAGCACCCACCTTCATAAGGACTGTGGCTTTGACCCACCTTGTTGTCTTATCCCTATCAGAAGTCCTCCTATAGCATATCAGGAAGCTTGTTGGGACCCAAAATGTACTTCCTTTGACTCCAAACCAAATTCACTGCCATAGAGTCAGATCCAACTCATAGCAACCCCTCCTTGGATTTCCGAGGCACTGTCACTATGGAAGTAGATTGCTCAATCTTCCTTCTGAGGAGTGGCTGGTGGGTTAGAACTACCAGCCTTCTGGTTAGCAGTTAAAAGCCTTAGGCACTACACTACCAGAGCTCCTTCCTTTGACTAGGAAGGAGGAATTTAGACAAAGTGCAAACCCAAGGCAGATCCTCTACCAATGGAACATTCCTCATGGATATCTCTTCTTATTTATTATAATAGAGCTTGCCACATGTTTTAGCTAGTTTAATCATCAATACAACCCTTTGAATAAGATAATGGTATCATCTCCATTTTTCAGGGATGCTCATGATGAAAACTGGCAGAATTGAGATTCAAAAGCCTGTCTGATGCCAAAGCTATGATATTTTGTCTCTCATTTAGAACTGTTCTCCCAATGAAGATATGAGAACATATTACTACCTCATTTAAAGCCAGGCCTGTTAGTGGAGATTGCCCTTAAATCCTAAAGAAGTTGGTATCTATAATTTAAAGATTTTAAGCTTCAAGATAACAACTGTAAATCATGCTGTTTTCTTCTGGTCTAGGTCATAGACTCTGAGACCCTGGGTGGATGGGACCTTAAGACTATCTTACCCAACCATCCGTTGGATGAATGTATATCCTATACAACTTCCTGACAAGTGGCCATCCAGTCCCTTCCCTCACTCTTCTTCACATTATAGTACAGAAGAAAGTCCTTTCTCACTAAGCCAAAATCAGCGGTCTTTGCTCCATCTTTCCTCTTTGAGCTGGGCCAGGATTTAACCTGAACAAGGACGCATGGATCTTACCCTCTTGGCCCATTTGCTCACAGGCAGGGCCCCAGCGACCCAGGGGGCACTGACACCTGCATCTAGTGCCATCAAGGATGGGTTCCCCATTGTTGAAGCAGGGCCCACAGCGGCAGGCATTGAACTCCAGCAGGTATTGGTCCAAGGCCTGTTGCAGGTTCCGAGATTTGGCCTTTAGAGAAGCCAGGTTCGTGTGTCGCAGCAACTCATAGATGGGCTGCATCTGTGGACACACACAAAAAAAACACAGAACCTCTCTCTAGATCTTGTTCTCCTTCCTAGAGCTCAAGAGTTGGACGCTAAGCTTCTTGAAGGCTTGTTTATGCCAGGCACAGAGCCAGATACCCCACTAATACACTGCATGGATCTGTGCTACAGTTCTGTGAAGTAGGTATTAACTCCCCAGCTTACAGATTCAGAAATGCAGGCTGAGATAGTTTACTTGATAGTTTGGGATCACACAGTTATTAAGTGCACAAGTCACTCTGAACATGGACTTACTTAGTCTCTGTTCTTCCTGCTCCAGAGTAGGAGCAGAGTTTAGAAGCAGTGATAATTCATTCACTCTTTCCAACTCTTTTATACTCTTTAGGAAGAGTATAAATCATTTGTGTATGTGTATGTGTGTGTGTGTGTGTGTGTGTTTGTATGTGTGTTTTAAGATGGTCAACCCTCAATTTAGGAATTAATAAAGTCCTTGTTAAGTAGCTTGTTGGTGCTGTGCAAAGGGTGTTGTGTGGGTGTGAGGGTCATTTACATTTCAGGCAACCCATACGAGGCGTAACAGTAGTCCAGGGTTCCTCAACCTCCATGCTGTTGAAATTTGGGCTGTATAATCATTTTTTTTTGGTGGAGAAGGATTATCCTGTGCATCCATTAGATGCTGGTTGTGACAACCAAAACTGTTTCCAGACATTGCACAGTTCTGCTCTGACATGAATAGGATGTCTGTGAGCCAGAGTCAAGATGGCAACTGGTTTTTTATGGGAAAGAGCTTAGCACCATGCCTGTCACATACTAAAGGGTAAATAAATGCCTGTCACTTCCTAGCTGTGTCACTTAAGACTGTTAATTGCCCCTCTATAAACCTGAGCCTTGTTGTCTATTAAAAGGAAATAATACCTACTTTCTATAATTCTTATGAGGATTGAAAGAAGTAATGAATGTGAGATACCATTGCAAAGAGAAGAATTACATAAAATAGTCTTTCTACTAGCTAGACTGATGAAGTGAGAAAAAAAAAAAAAGCCTGTTCTTTTCTAAATGCACTTACATATGATTATCTTCAGCACACTTGCACATTTGCAACCCTACACATTTTAACACAGGATCATAAAATAAAAGATCTTCTCCAGGTCTCCCACTTTACAGAAAAAGAATCTGAGACTCTGAGACTCAGAGACTGGGAATGATTTGCCTAGGTCAGAGAGCAAGTCAGTGCGGGGATTGAGCCACATTGGGGAAATTTCACTTCTCTGGAAACAAGTCAACAGAGGGCACTCACAGTAGCCTTGAATGGGTTCCTGGAAATGTGTACAGAAGGTTTGTGGCAAACAGACCCTGGACTATGGTCAGATTGTGCAGCTGATGTCATCAGGCAGGTAAAGACAAGACTATCTAGGCCCCCAGCCAAGGAGAGAAGATGACTTACTGGAAGCTCAGATAATTTGGTCTCCCCTGATAGGAATTCAGTGCAGAATGGGCTGCTCTGTGGCCTTGAGGAAAGCCAACTCTTACTTCTACAGAGAGCCAAGACCACTGGGAAATTCCCTTTGACATTCAAGAGGGGCTCAGCACTCAGTCTCCCATGTCTTATTTCCGCCTCCCAGAACCCTTAGAAAGGGGGAAGAGGGCTACTCCTTGGGGAGGTCTCCTGGAGAGTCAAGAAAGGGAGGAAAGGTGGATAAAAATAATTTCAGAATGTTAGAAATTGAAAAGTTATTGGCAATTGTCTTGTCAACATTTTACAGATGAGGAAACATTCACAGAAGACAAGTGATGTGATATAACAACATAACATAGTGAGCACAATATAGCAGCATGATAACATAGCACAATTCACTGCATAATGTAGCAAGATAACATACAAACAGTACATAGCACACAACACAATATAACACATCACATAATATATCACAACACATAATACAACATATAACATAACTCCTACATTCATTCAGCCAAAGTCCCTCCTATATTTAAACCCCACTAAGCTCTAGGGATTGTGAGTAAATTAAAAAACCCTGTTGCCACTCTGAGCTTCAGGTTCCAAACAACGCCCTAACTGGTCTCCTGCCATTCATCCTTCATATCCCTGTGAGTGTTCCTTTTTTAGAACTCTAGCTCTGTCACTTTCTTGCTCTAAAATCTGCCAGTGACTTGGAGCTTAAAGTGCAACAATCTCAAAGGGCAACATGGATTGCGAAGCGGTCACAGGTGTTAGAGCCAGGTAGACATGAACCAAGATGGGCTCTGCCATTGCTGCTGAGCTTTGGGCAGGTTACTTAACCTCTATGAACCTTTTTCCTTAACTGACATTTAATAAATACCTACTCCTCTCTCTCCAACCTTGTGAACTGAAATGCTATTCACTCTAGGTCATAGAGTAGGAAGCCAGAGTTCAGAGAATGAAGTCACTTGTCTAGAGCCAAACATGAAAAAACCATGTTCGACACATGAATCAAACTATGTCTTTCTCACTCCAAAGCTCAGGTTCTTTTTTCTCAAAAGATAATGTTTAGTCTTCTCCAAATCATGAATCTCAGTTCTACTAACATTTGGGGACAGATAATTCTTTGTTGTGGGGATGCGGCCCTGTACATTACAGGATGGGTAGCAGCATCTCTGGCCTGTACCCATTAGATGCCAGCAGTGCCCTCCCAGCTATGACAACCAAAACATATTTCCAGACATTGCCTTAGAAGTTTTGTTCAAGGCAAATATCAAGTTCACTTTCTGCCTGTGAAAGTTTATATATTACTCCTGATATCAATTTTACAGGTTTTGCCCCAATCACTAATAGCTTGATGATAGCAATTTTTCTGGCCCTATGTGAATTACAGGTGCGTGAAAATGGTCTCTTACTTACTGGAGAAGAAATGAAATCAAGGTTAACCCATCTGACCTCTTTCTTCACAGAAAGAAAGGTATTATAATAAGGCACTTACAGATTTAGCTACTGGTGTATGTTTTAAGGGAAAGAATGGCATCTGTACCTGGACTTCTAAATACATGGAAAAGAAAATGGACAAAGGTAATGAGAAAATGGGCATAAACACATGATATGCTGATTGAAAGTTCAAAATATAACTTTAAAAAAAGTTAAATGGACTATCCTACATATTAACAGAAATACTTTGACAACTGATAGAACAATCCACTTCCTTTTCAGTTTGAATATAATTTTTTTATGCAGTTAGTGATTTGAGGCAGGATTTCTCAACCTTGATGCTACTAACATTTGGGGCCAGATAATTCTTTGTTGTGGGGATGCTTCCCTGTGCATTACGGGATGGTTAGCAGCATCTCTGGCCTGTATCCCTTAGATGCCAACAGTCCCCTTCCAGATATGACAACCAAAACATTTTTTTCCAGACATTGTCAAAAGTCCTTACGGAGGCCAGACTTCTTGGTTGAGAATTGCTGCCTTCAGGAAGATGGGAGGATAGAGGGAAGGGAAGTGAGAATTAGATTTGAAACCCAGAGGTCTGAAATCCAGGCATTGTACATGAAAGCTCTGGGATCTTTAACAAGTCCCTTGATCTCTCAGAGCCTCAGTTTCCTAATCTTTTCAATGGGAGAATAAAGCCTGGGCCAGAGATTCATTGTGATGAAGAGATAAGATCATTTTGAGCAAGGTGCAAAACTCAGCCTGGGGCTAAAACCACCCCACTGTTCCTTTAGTATGGCCTTTGAGATAAGAATGGTTTTCACATTTTTAAAGGTTTTTTTTAAAAAAAAGACAAGAATAAGTAACAGAGACTGTATATAGCACACAAAGCCTAAAATATTTATGACCTGGTATTTTATAAAAATAGTTTGCTGACCCCTGACTTAACAGAGGCTATTTTTAAAATATATAAATATATTTGTATACTTTTATAGAAATAAAATATATACATACTTAAATACTTTGAAGGATATAAATAAAGTATATAAATGCAACTTATTTGTTTAACATGGCCTTACTCTGAAGAAATCTTGGACTACTAATGTAAAACTAGCCACTAACCAGCTATTAAGTTTCTGATCCCAGGTGCCCTCTGGCCCAGGTCAAAAGTCATGTACTCCCTACAGTCAGGCATGGGGAAGGCCACAGATTCAGTGTCCTGTTACATTTGATCTTGTTCTTTGATGGGCTCATAATAAGAAATATGAAATGATTTGGTCTGCTTCACTTTCATTCCTCATGGACATAGAGTTTCTTCAACTGAAAAAAGACTTACCTCAAAATCGATAACAATAGGATTATACTTTAATGACCTCCCCCAGAAACGGTATGTAATGATGCTCCTCTTTTCTGTCAATCCACCACCCCAGCCAGTACTGCCATCTCGGACCCGAGAAATGATGTCTTCCACACCCATATTCTTCATGTCGTTTTCTGCCATCAAGAAGATAAGTGTGCATTAGCTCATTTCCCAAAAAGCCAAAGGACTGATTTGAAAACTCCCTAATGGGATTTGGAAAAAAGTCTATGTGCCCTCAATGGGGCTACTTCTGACTCTCCTACCTTATTTGGTTAACTAGCAACACAAGCCAGAAGAGAGGGAACAAGACTTAGAAATAGATCCATCCTTTAGAGTAGACCCTGGGAGGGCAGCCTAGTACAGCTGGTACATGGTATCTGGAGAGGATGCAAAAATGGATAGTCATTCATTCATTTATCATTCAAATGTTCACTCAGTGCCAGGTTTATGTCAAATAGGTTCAGTTAAATATCATAAGCATTATGACACCTATCTCTATGGGGCTCAGCCAGGGCACTGAGAAAGAAGCAGTCAGTTATACAGAAGTGATAGGTGGTGGTCAGGCAGAAAGATGAGCTGCCTGGAAAGATAAGTAAGTCTTTACCATGTAAATGTAGACAGGATACTTCTTACAAGAGTCTATTATCAAAATGGTGCTGGCAAAACTGGAGATCCATTTGCAGAAAAATGAAACAAGATCTGTACCTCACACCACACACAACAACGAACTCCAGATGGATCAAAGACTTAAATGTGAAACCTAGAACTATACAGTTTCTCAAGGAAAATTTAGGGTCAAA